TTTCAATCCAAATAGTCTAAGAGAGACTAGTGGGCGTCTTCTGGTATTCTAAGTGAATTCTTTTTTCTCTAGTTTTTCTGACAGCCTGGTTGGTGTAGTGCTTGTCAAACACTCAGTTCTCATTAAGTTTATTGCTAGTATTCAGCTCCCAGATGATAATTCTTTACATAATACCGTTAAAAATCTGTGCTACTTCTTTATTTAGGACTTCTCAAGTAAGCTTCTATATTCCTGATCCCTTAGATTTATTTAGCTACTTCACTTAGGTTTTGTGTAACTTATATATTATACTAATATTCTACAACCTCCCAGTACAAGCTGATGCAATCAAAATCACAAATGCTTATCTAATCAATATATCATACAGTTTTATCATAACACATTCTGTAAATTCAAATTTCGTTGTTAGTGGGATTCGAACTTTTGTCCTGCTGCTTGGAGATGCAACAACTTACCAACTATATTAAATCACTACACCCTGTTAAGAATAAAATTTAGAAGTAGGTTTTATAATAAACAAGTATAAGTAGGTTTTAGAAAAGTAAATAGAAACCTCTCATTTTATTTTAATTCAATTTCATTATAATCCACAACAATAGGGGTGTGGCAACTTAGTAAAGTGGTCAAGTTGTCACCCTCCTAAGTGGCATATCTAGAGTTCAATTCCCACCGATGATAAAAATCAAATTCTTCTGTACATTGATGACTATTTGGGTGTTGGGATGTAGATCCTATAATGATGGTCAGACCAAATAGGTGCAAGAGATAATGATCGCCTAACGGACAGCTTATCTCACAAGCCCTAATCAGGGTAGTAGTATAGACTTGAAAGATTTTGGGGCATTTGTGTAATAGAAAAGTTATATGAAGAGATACAAATCGATAAAAGGCAGTGTAAACCCACGATAAGTCATCGGGATCTGTGTAAATCCATTGAACTTTGTCCCAAATAGGAATTTGCTTGGCAAGTTCTGAGTAAAGAGGTAATACTACTTTCAATGGCTCTGAAAAGTCTGAGAAGAAAAACCAATAAGCTGTGGATTCGGATGAGAACTGAGTGTTTGGCAAGCACTATACCAACCAGGCTACCAGAATCTACTGGAAGAAAAGAGCACAGGCCGGTATCTGGGTTAAGCTAGTAGGAAAGTGGGTAACATAACTTGTGGACCAAACCGGCATATCTGGATTGGAAGTTTGGTGAAACAGTAAAAGTGTTTCTGATTGAATAAGTAAGGGCTGGGTAGAATGAACTTTGCAAGGGCAAGGAGTAGGTAACAGTAGTGGAGAAATACTGCAAGTACTTAGTCTTGGCCTAGGCGTAAGTTACTAAAAAACTAGATGATATATTTGTGGAACATGAACCACTCTAGTAGGTTTACTATAAGAATAAATTAGTTCTAAGGAGCCTTAACGGCAATTTCTCTTTGGAGAGAATATCTGACGGCGCTAAGTTGATCAGAGGATTTAATTGGATAACTCAAGTAATAGTAGATTATAGGTATAGCATCTAGTGTAGTACTTAGTAATAAAGAACTACTTAATTAGGCACTCAAAAGGCACAGATATGACTAGAATGTATCCTCGTTAATGTAACAAAGTCAGGGGTGGTCTTGTAGCTGCCCTGATATTCATAACCAAAGTTAATAAAACGTGCCAGACCTCCAAGTGGTCACCTTAACATTAAAAAAATAATAATAATAATTTACAACAATTATTATAAGAAATAATTAGTAAATTTTACAAATATTATTTAATTAAAATGAACTTCAATTATGCTGTTTTATAGTATAATATACTATATATATAATTAATATATATTATTAAGGATATGGTGACTTAGTGAAGTTGGTAAGTTGTCGCATCTCCAAGTAGCAGGATAAGAGTTTGAATCTCACTGGTAACGAAATTTGAATTTTACAGAATATGTTATGGCAAACTATGTGTAATATGATGGATTATCAGATTTGTAGCTTTAGTCATATTAGCTTGTACTGAAAGAATATAGAACTATAGTGTAATGCAAGAGTTATACAAAACCTAAGTGAAATTTTATGTAAATCTAAGGGCTGAGGCATATGGGATCCCACTTGGCAAGTCCTGAGTAAAGAGGTAGTACAGATCTTTGATAGCGCTACATAAAGGATTATTAACTAAAGAACTAAAAATTGGACAGGACCAAGATGTTTGGCAAGACACCATACTAACCAGGCCATCAGTGAAAACCAGAAAAAGGGGTCCGCCCTTCCGGGCTATCTGGATTGAAAGTTTGGAGACCAGTAAACTGATAGACAGTCCATATAGGAGTACTGGGGTTTGAGTGAACTTTATAAGAGCAGGAGTAGGTAATGGTAACGGCTTCGGCTCGCAAGTACTAGTTCTTAAACTTGGCGTAAATTACTGAAAGTCTAAATTTGCTGAATTGTAGGTATGAAAAGCTCTAGTAATAATGCTTTGAGGATAAATTAGTCCTAAAGCTATAATACACATCTGGAACTCTTGATTAATGAATGTAATAGAGATGTTCTGGTAATACAAGGTGATGTGTACATTACAGAGGATTTAAATAAGTAATCCCCTAGTTGGGTTGCAGGTATAGCAGCTAGTGTAGAATCTATAGTATATAGTTATTTATACACGGACTACTTAAATAGGCACTCAAAAGGTGCATATGTAACTAGTTGTACTTTTTAATGTAATTGGGGTTTTGCTGTAAACTTCCCACCCAATATACTTGAATAAAAATTCTTATACCAAAGAGGCTAGTTAATAAAAAAAAATATATATATATATATTATTATATTATAGTTAAAAATATACCAAATTAGAAAATTTGACTATAAATTATGGGAATTGCTATTTCCACTCTCCATTTTTGCTAATGTCATATCCAAATATCATAAAGTGCTCTGAAATAGATATTCTTATTAAGTAAACCTTTTTTGTGATTTTAATAAAAGTTGTTCATCAGACCTTTCTGATTCTAATGGTAGTAAAACCATTATACTCAGTCAGTAGTTCCTAAGATATTTATATCTGAAGTTGGTTAACTTTAATTTACTTTTAAATAAAAACTATTGGCCTGACTTTAATGATTTTATGACTATTAGAACCAGAAAGGCCAGATGAACAACTTTTATTAAGACCAAAAAGAAGGTTTTCTTAATAACAATACCTTTTCTGGTGCACTGTTTTAAATTTTAAGGTGTGGTATTAGCAAAAATGGGGGTGGAAATAGCAATTCCCTAAATTATTTATATATTAATTTTTATATTTGATTAGCTCTTGCATATTTTTGCAACTATTTTTTAGATTATTACAAATTTATAAATAAATATAAAAAATATCTATGAAAAATTTACAAATAAGAGTCCAAAAATGAAAATAATTACAAATAAGAGCTCAAAATAAAAATAATTACAAATAAAGGCCCAATATTTGAAAATTATTATAACTACTATATATAATGTCTCGGCTCCACTTCAAAACAAACATGATGTATAATATCACGAGGTCAAAGTACTGCTATATATCTTTAACTAATGGCACAGTAAACTTTACAAGATATAATTTATATGCTTTGAATGCTTTTATAGAGGTTAAACAAGTTGAATCATAAGAAATCAGTCTTACTATATGAATATAACCATTTTTGCGCTTGTTAGCTGAAATATTAAAAGGGTATGAACTGGTTTCATTTGTAAAACAAAAGTCAACAATCTATTTTATAATATTATCATTATCCTCTTTATTTTTGAATCCTCTAAATTCATAGTTACTCCTATTGCAAAGACGTATTGATACGTATTTACAATAGGACATAACTGAGTGACGTAAATATGTAAGTATTAGTATGCAAGTAGCATTGGGGTGGTCGATCAACTAATAGAATCAAACATATTTCTAGTCTCATTGATTTTTGTATAATGATAGAATTTTTGATCAAAAAATCATACCACGGTCTTTATATTAAAAGATTAGTAAAATACTTTTGGATATTTAATGCTCAATAATAAGAGCTTTTTTTCAATCTTAACGTCTTTCACTATTTACTGCATTTTTAACAAAGTTATGTTTTCGGATTTTACATATTATAGTAAAATTTTCAATTAAAAAATATATTTCTAATTGGTATTTATAAAATCTAATATAATTTTTTAAAACTCATATTATACAAATTAGATAAAACTGTATATAAAGTACAAATATTTTAACGTAACTTTGTAAAAGAAGTATTAAGTCTTCTTTTTACCAAATTTGATATCAATTAATCGCGCAATTAAGGCAGAATAACCATTTAAATATTTTAGAATGCGTTTACGGTCTCGCTTCGAATATAGTTTACTACATAAATATGCGCATCATGCGCCTTATCACTGCATGGTGCTTAATCGTCATATATCATAATTTATGTAATACGTGACTTTTTTTTTTATACCGATAAATAATAAAAAAAAATCTGCAATATTGCAAATTTATATGGAACTAGACATACAGTATGTTTGATTTTATTGGATGATCGACCACCCCAAAGTAGCATGTATGTAATGCTAATTTTTTAATATATGTGGTCTCCAAGTATTAGTATGCAAATAGCATGTATGTAATATTGTTAATTATTTAATATTTGACACGACCAGGGTGGACACCTATTTTACGGGTCATGTGGGTAGGGCCATTGTTGCAAACGAATCAGTATTGGATCCATAGTGCTATCGCTATGAAAATTTTGGCCTGCATTGCATATTGTGCATATGAACATTGATAGCACCACCATATGACCTGGTTGTGTTATTAGGATACAAATAACATGTATGTAATATTGCTAATTTTTTAATATATGTGGTTCTCCCCATGGGTTCGATCAGCTTTAATTCAGAATTATAACCCTCCTATGCTCGTCTATTCATCTTTCTCGACCCTTTCCCCATATCCTCACAATACAGTTACTATCTTTCAAAATTTCTTAATTCTTTCTTTATATTTTTGAACATCTCTTAAAAATGAAGTTATTTGGTATCACCATCATTTCTATTATCGCAATTTTGTTCTCTTTTGAAACCTTAATCGTTTCTGCACATACACAATGTATAGGAAGTTGTAAAAAGGCAATTATAAAGGGTGATGGTACTCAAATTTTAACGGGTTTCTGCTCAAGCCTAATCCAAG